TCTTGAAATTAGAGAAAAATAAAAGAAAAATATATTTCTCAATTTTAAATTGGAATTGATAAATTATTTTCATTAAATCTATGATTAGAAAATTACGATTTTCAATTTTTTTTGATTTATTAAATTTAAAATTTTTTTCTTGTTATTTATCAATGTTGTGTAGATATTATTTAAAATTATTAATGAAATTAATTTTATTTTATTACTATTTTTATCTTAATTAATTATCTCTGAAATTTATTAAATTTGTAATAAATCAGTAAATAATGTTGTAAAACCAATAAAATTAAATTTATCTAAATTCTTTTTTTAATACTTTGTAATTAATAACTAATTTCAATTGTAGATTATTGCACATATAAATAATAAACGAGTATATAAATCAACTTTTTCTATAAGAATCGATGAAAAAAAAAAAAAATCGATTCTCAACTTCGAATAATAAAAATTCTTGTAGAAATTTATTTTTAGAGAAGTCGTAATGAAAACGAATCGTGCGATAAGAAATTTTTCGAAGAAGAACAAATTGAAATTGAATCTCAAATAAAAATTTGAAGAATTTATTCAGAAATCGTCTTAAAAATTTTTTTCAAAAAAATATAAGAGTTATCCTTTGAAAGAAATCAAAATTTTATTCCACAAATTGTATTATCGAAATAATATTTTCCACTAAAAAAAAAAAAAAAAAAAAGAAAAAAGAGAAATCGTAAGGAATATTAAATTTTCGAAATATTATTGATGTTTCATTGTACTTGAACTTGAATTTGCACTTAAACGAAATATACATAACATTTAACTGCCTTATAAATTAAGTATGAAGAGGTAATCACGCTCGATACGTTATTGCTGCGCAATTGATGTACATTGTTCGTACTTATAAGTTACCATTGATAATTATAGAACTGTTATTATATAATAGCCATTCTAGAAGTCGAAGTATTGTCATTTACATCGAGAAATTCTCACGTTCTATTATCACCTCGAGTGTAAACAAAATTTATCGTATACCCTAGTTACGATTCGCCAGAAAACGATATCCGATTGCTTCTTAAACGATCGTCAAATTAATTAAATCGAATCAATTAAAATCATCGATTTATTATAAAATCAATTAAAAATCATGATTTCGAACGGCTTATTCGTTTGTTTCGAATGTAATTCGAAGTGATGAGTAAATAAACGACTAAAAAAAAATAGTAATAACAAACGAGGATCAATGAATATACAAAATGTAAAATTTAATGATATATATATATTTTTTTTTGCTTATTTATGATAACAATTATTAAATATTTCTCTAGGCCAATATCTATGCGATGAAGGAGAATTTGAAGGCATTTATAATTATCAATTGTTAATTAAAACTCGTGATCAACTTGTTATTTCTGTTTATCTTTTATTGTTAATAATTGTTATAATTTATAAAATGTACGATTAAACATAGATTATTATCGTGATATAACATTCCAATGATGGCTATTAAAGAAGCTATTTTACTGAGATTAAAATTCTTTAAAATTTTATTTTAATTTTTTTTTTAGTATTTTTCTTGGAAAAGAAAGGAAAGAAATAAGAATTCTGAGTTTCAAGAAGTTTCATAAAAGTTTCGAGTTTCAATCCGTTTCTAATTTTTAACAATATATAAAAATTTGTACAGATTATTACGAACACCCTGTATATGTTTGGAAAACTTTCAAAACTTAAACAAAATTTCAAATCCATTCGTATCTTTTATCAAAAACTATTTCTCGTAGAATGTTATCGCAGATTATTAATATCTTACACATATTTTCCAAAGTTTCCAAACTTTCAGATTTAAATTTTAGATTTCGACATATCTTCAATTCTTATCAAAGATTATTTCTTTTTAAATACATAAGAAAAAATCGCAAAGATTATTTAATAGACACTCTATAGAAACTTCATTTTCACATTCAAGTTTCAGATTATTTAATTCTTACCAAACACTATTTCTCTCCAAATATATTTACGATTATATAAAAATTTGCATAGATTATTAACGAACATCTTATACAATCTAAAAAGTTTCGAGTATTAATCAAAAGTTTCGAATTAATTTTTATCAAAAAAAGCTATTTCTTCTTAAATGTAGTAAATAAATAAAAAATTTCACAAATTATTCACAATTATTAACAATATTTCACAATTATTAACAAAGATCCAATATATATTGTCGAAAGTTTCGACAAATTAATAAAAAAAATTATTTCTTCTCAAATAAATAAAAAATTATAAATTATTAACGAACACCCTCTATATATAAGTCACTTATTCAATTTGTAATCGAAACGCAATTGACATTGGTGCGTAATTTTTCGAAATGAACACGAGTTCCATTTGTATTGTAGAAACAGAATTTTTCTATTATGCAAATCCAATGATCCGTGGATCCTTGAACAACAATTAACGAACGAATTTACTGTTCCAAATCACATTACAATTACAAAAGATGTTGTTTGCTATTGTCTTCAGGTGCTGCACAAAGTGTTGTCGTCAGGACATCGTCGATATAGCCTCCTTCCATCACGTGCCCCTTACAATCTGACAGAGGGCGCATCGCGCACTAGAAGTCGCCACCAGTTGATTAATCCCAAGAGAAACCGGAGGGCGGCGTTCAATGCCTCCGACTGCGAGGACAACAGCAGCGGTGGCGAAGAGGAATTCACTCAGGTAAGAATTTTCTTTCTTTCTTCACTTATTTTAAATCACTTTGTGAAATACTACTATGTGAATTTATATTTAATGCTTCAAATTTAAATCTTTCACTCAAGTAAGAATTTTTTTCTTTTTTAGGTATTTTGAATTATTTTGTGAATATACGAAATGTATAGTGAATTTATATTTGATTCTTTAAATTTAAATTTTGTGATTTTGGAAAATTGATAATGTGATAATCCTGTTTATTTCTTCCAAAGAAATGAAAAATATAATAATCCTCCAAATGAAAATATGAAAAATTGTGATTTTGAGAGAATTTGTATGAATATCATAGATGGAACTCATCAGTTGAATTCAAATCAAATTTAGTAATATTGGAGTTTAAATCAAAATATGTTATTTGTGATTCTTAGAATAAAAATATGTTGAAAATATAATACTCAATATAAAAATCATAATGGAAATATAGAGAATATAGAATTCATAATGGAATCTTGAATTGAAAAATTGAAAAATTTTCTCGTTTTAAGAATTTAATAATACTGGAATTTAACTCAAAATATGTTGTAATAGAAATTATAGTGGAAACCAAATGTAGAGAATATAGAACTCAATGTATATAATGGAATTTAAATTAAAATTTTGTAATTTTGAGAATATGAAAAAAAATATATAAATAAATTCTTATACTGAAGTGATTTTGGGATTTGATAATGTGTTAAAAATATAATAAATTTATATTAAATTTTTAATTAAAATTGCAAGAATGTACTCATGCTGGATTTTTCAAATCAAATCAAAGTAATACTTGACTTTTTAATTTTGAGGATGTATCAATTTTATTGGATGATTGTAAGATATCTGTAATTATATTTTTTGAGTCATGATTTTTTTTTTAAAACAAGTTAAATAATTATGAATTTTAAGTTTGACAAATTCTAATTCTAATTCTAATTCTAAGTTAATATTAAATAAATTTAATAGTAAAACAAATTATTGTTGTAAAGAATGTTTTTAATATTTGGGATGAATATTCTTGTAAAATAGACTAATATATAAACTAATATTAGATAGACTAATATTAATAGATAATATATGGACTAATATTTCCAGTATTTGAATATAAAATTTTAATATCTATATAGATAGATATTTTGAAGATTTTGTAAAAATTATATAACCATAAAATAAAACGAATAATATAATAGATAAGAAAATACGTAATAACTGGTAATAGAAACTTTGAGAGAAAAAAAGTTTAAAATTTTTTAGAAACTGCTTACAAAAAGAATATTTAAAATTTGATATTTTATTAACGCTCTGTGTGATTAACGCTCTATGTGATTACATACAAGAAATGACATAATATTATGATAATTATCGAAGAATGCTTATAAATTATCAAATTTAACAAGAAATTAATCGCAATTCTAAATTCGAATTATCTTATAGTAAAAATGTTTGAAAATTACAATTATTATTATTTTATTTTTTTGTTTTGCATATGTGTTAATACGATTTACATTTTTTTAAAATAAAACAAGAAATCCAAATCCGTGAAAAAATGAAAAAGAAAAAAATATAAATGGATAATTAACTCGAATTGCACAATAATTTTATTCTCCATTCGAAAAGATTGTTCATTTACGTAACATGTTTTAGACATTACATTCCTTTTAATACAGAGTAGTTATACTTATATACCGTGATAACTGAATAACCGTTTTAAAAGTGACATCATCATTCAGGTACAATTTCATGCTGACTTCGATGCTACTGCAATTAATTTATCAAATCATTTCATTCTCCTCTTGTTACATATATATTCATCACTTGTAAAATTCTGATCAATCGTCTTCTCATGGACATTAAAGATAAACAAAAGAATGTGATATAATTAAAAAAAAAAAAAAGAAAAAGAAAGATAATTTAATTCTTCTCAAAATTCTTCATCTTCAATTTTCCAATAATGATTTTTTCAATTTTGAATTTTCCAATTATCATAAGATAAATTATTCGAAATTCTTGATTTCTGATTTTTCAATGATATAATTAAAAAAAAAAAAAAAAAAAAAAAAGAAAGAAATTTAATTTTTTCCCAAAATTCTTCATTTTCAATTTTCCAAAAATGATTTTTTCAATTTTGAATTTTCCAATTATCATAAGAAAAATTATTCGAAATTCTTGATTTCTGATTTTTCAATGATAAAATTAAAAAAAAAAAAAAAAAAAAGAAAGAAATTTAATTTTTTCCCAAAATTCTTCATTTTCAATTTTCCAAAAATGATTTTTTCAATTTTGAATTTTCCAATTATCATAAGAAAAATTATTCGAAATTCTTGATTTCTGATTTTTCAATGATATAATTAAAAAAAAAAAAAAAAAAGAAAGAACAATTGATTACAATTTTTCCAAATTACGAATTTTTTAATTCGTAAATAATTTAATTTATTTCTCAAAATTGATCTCTAATTTAATTCCTCCTTCTTTTATTTAAAGTGATTTTAAATTGTCGACCAATTAATTACAAGCGAACAATCAACTTAATCGCACGAACGAACAAAGTAAATATCAAAGAACGAAGTACTTAATCACCATTTAATCTCAGAAAAGAACAATTACAATTGTTTAATTCAACACGCATTTTCTTTTTCTTTTTCAAATGACACGACACGAACAATCATATCCCAGATTATACTCTTCAGTTGTTCTGATCAAGTCACTTTTTTGTTTTGTTTCCAGAAGATTACTGTAGTTGCCCGTTTCTAAGTCACGTGTACAATGTATAATACGCGCGGAAGGAAGTATGTGATTAAAGATCAATTTGCAATTATTATAGATCAATAGAAATACGGATATATCGAAGCTATAATAAGCAGCTAGTTGATTGGAATTTATATAAATCCGACGTTTCAATTATCTATCAATCTTGCGGCCAGAATAATGAGCCCAGTTCGTTAACCAATAATCGCATGTCATGTTTAATTACAAATCAGAGTCTCGAATTTTCTCTTTCTATTGTTCTTATTTCTAAACTCCTATCTATCTTATTTCGTTTTTAATACTCTTGGATACGTATTTTGTAATTTAATAGAGGAATTGAATAGAAGATGAAATAAGTTAGGTTAGATTAGTTAGATAAGCAATAATATATTTAATTACAAATCTTTTTGCTTTCTATTATTTTTATTTTTAGACTTTGAAATTTTATTTTATTTCTCTTTTAATATGTTTGGATTACAGAATTAATATTATATACATTTTGGACAAGTATTTTATAATATATACTTAATAGGGAAATGAATATAGAGTGAAAGTAAGGTAAGGTTAAATTTGTTATGATAACTATAAGTTAGATAATAGAAATTTTATCTTAATTATCCTTTAATATGTTTAGATATGTATTTTATAATAACTTAATAGGTAAATACTTAAAAGAGAGTAATAGTTAGCTAACCAATAATCCTTATATGATTACAAATCATTTGGTTGTGTTTACAATATATATAAAATTCTTTAATCTTATTTTTATATTAAAATTATTAAAAAACCGATACAAATAAATAATAAGAAAAATTATTAAAAATATCAAATATTAAATTACACTAAAATTTAATTATTTATAGTAAGAAATTAATTTATTATTTATAAGAAAAGTATATTTATGTAATATATTTATAAATAAAAAAATATAGATTTATAAATATATTTATATAATAAGAAAGTGTAAGAAAAATTATTAAAAAAGTGAAGAACCAAATTGAAAATTAAAATTTATTATTTTTATAAAAAATATATAACAAAAATATAAATTTTTATATTATTAGATGAACAATTAAAGAATAATCGAAATCTTCGATTGTAAACGCGAACAACAATGTAATTGCAATGATGAGATGGAAAAGAAGCGAAACGAAATATCGAAGAATTAGGTTTCAAACAGATTTTATGGTTGCGTAACTGGTAATCCATTAAACGTTACGCAATAACTTCAGGTCGTCTCGAATAAAGATGAATTGTATTTCAAAGAAAGGATCCCTCTAATCGTGTCAATCCTAATAATTTTAGATTAAAGTTCGCGTTTAATCCAATTATGCTTGTTGATTCATTGCAGACTGTTAGCAGAAGGCTCCTGTCAACCACAGCCCCACAAAACAACGTGAAGCTCCAGGCTGGCCTAGATCGTCTCTACCAAGACATTGAAAAGCTGAAAAGTAAGTTGAAAAAATTTAAAAATTGCAATCTGTATTACAATATAATATAAATTTAAATTTGAAATTTTTTTTTGAATATTATACAATAATATAAATAAAAATAATTAAAGTGAAAAATAGTAATATAAATAGAAATATTTATTTATGGATACCTTTATATATATATGAATAATATTATTAGTTAGTGAATATGATTTAATACAAATAATAATATTATTCATATAACGATATCCATTAAATAGAAATGGATAAAAAACATCTATTTAGAAGTAAAAAATATAATTTATATTATTTATTATTATTATACAATAATATTTATTTCAAATAAACAAAAGTGGATTTAAACATTCGTTTTAGTAATTTTATAATAATCGTTTTATTATTAATTTATATACTCAATGTTTGATAGATTATATAATATTTTACGTTGAATCAAATATTATTTGAATTTTTTTTTGCAAATGTACTTTCTTAAATATGTTTCTTATAAGAATTCAATTTCAACCTGAAAAGGTTACCCGATTAAATTTTATCTGACATTTAGTATTAATAACCACGTTGCACCATGATATGCGAGGCTGAATACGTGCCATTGATAAACAAATCGACGAAGCTACTTAAAAGTAAAGTTCATTCAATATTCTCGTGCAACACGAGAGATCTCTTTCATTTAATTTCTGCTGATCTTATTAATTAATAACGTTTTCAGTTTCTTATTCACTATCAAATCAAATTAATTTTTATTATGTCTATCCAATTGAACATTCAAAGATGCATTTATCTCTAAATTTGTCTTATTGTTAATTCTTTCGAATTTTTAGAATTCAACTTTTTCTAATTAATTAGTAGAAAAATCTTTCGTTTTCATCTGATTTCTAAATTTCTCTTTTTTATTTATCAAATGAGAGAAATGAGTGAAATATAGGTTAAGTAAATCTTTCGTTTTTAATTTCTAAATTTTTCTTAATTCATAAAATTATTTCAATTATTTTGAAATCATATTTCTAAAATTGTTTCAATATTATTTTAAAATTTTAAATTATGTAATATAAGTTAATATTATTGAGTTGTAAATACATATTGATTGCAATGATTTTTGTTATTGTTACTTTTCATAGGACTCGAAACAAGATCCGCCGAGATTCTCCTTCCGCCTCTTTCCGGTGGTACAGCCGGTGAATTGGACTGCATCTTGTGTTGTCGACTCTTATGGAAACCCGTAACAACTCCATGCGGACATACGTATTGTTGGATGTGTTTGGATCGCTGCTTGGATTATTCCTCGGCCTGTCCTTTATGCGTCACTTCACTTGCCGATGTAAGTATAATAATATATCTAAAAATAATGAATTAAATATCTTTTAAAAATTTGTATTTGAAGAATAGACAATTTGTATAATGTTAATTCGTTATTATTTTACAATCAACATGACGGCCGATGATACGGCGATACTAACGCCACTAACGTGATTATTAAATACTAATGTCCTAATATGTTTTTACTTTCTCACATTTCAAATATTCAAATTTTCAAAGCTTTAATTATAATATCGAATAATAAAATAAAAATTGAATAAAAATTATATAATAAAAAATATTAGTAGATAAAATAATCGAACAAGAAATATATATTTCTGCATAACGAAATTTCTAATTATCGTGATAAAATAGTTAATTCTAGTATATGTATACATGTAATCGTTAATAAGACGAGAAGTTAATTTTGAACTACAATATTTCGTGGAAGAAGAGAGAACACCTGCCCATAAATGAGATATAATGTTTCTTAGCGGTTAATGATGCAGCAGATTGAAATGATTATTGTTTGTGGTCGCTATGGCTGCTCCGTTAGGAGCTTCCGCGTTCGTGCTTTGTCATTACCAATTGTCTCTGCGAGCATCATCGTTAATCACGTTAAATAAATTTTGCGGCTTGCAATCCCGTATCTTTCACGTAACCCTTCCTCGTATCGTGTTACATTATTATGCAACGCTTTGTGACCGTTACTCTCGTGCAATCCTGTTTTTCTCTTTTTCCTTCCTTCTAATCTTTCTTTCATCTTTACCATCTGTAGTTAAAAGTTGATAAATTTAATTCCTTTTATTATAATATAAATTTTAAACAAACTATTCTTATTAATTTTAAGGAAAGAAAAACACTATGAACGTGTCTTAATTTTCAATATATAATATTATTATTGTAGGCAATAAATATATTGTGCTTCTTTATTGGACATCTATAATTTTCTAATTTAATGAATTGTAATTTTTTAGAGATACATGTTAAACTTATACATGTTAAGAATATAATGCTTTTTTGTAAAGATAAATTTGTTAGTTATTATTAATAATAATATAATTTCTTATATATTCATACATAATAATGTTTTTAACAATTTCAGACTTAGTTTAATTGATTATAATATTAAACATACTTCTATGAATACTTCTTTAAAACGTTCAATTACATTATGTAATGATAATATAATTTTTTATATATTTTCAAATATAAATATACACCAATCTTTCCAACATCAAACTCCTTATTTCAATTCCAATTACAAAATCAAACATATTTCTATATTACATTTCTTTTCAACTTTCAATTGCATTATTAACGATATTATAATCTTTCATATATTTTCAAACACAGAAACGTTTCCTCAAACTTTAATTATATACAAATTTGAATACACTCTTATATAAGACTCATTTGAAGTAATTTGATTGCGTTACTAACGACGATCTAATCTCTTATATATTCTTAAACAGCAAGCAAAAACAATGTCTTCAACAATTTCAAATTTACTTCAATCACTTATACATTACACATATTTCCTTTCAACTGCAATACTAATATCAATTCCAACCTTTTACATATTCTCAAACACAAACATATCAATATTTCCAACAATTCTAAATTTTAATCAATCAAACAAACATATTATTCTCTCAATTATCTATTCTCTTAAAATTCAATTACTAACGACGATTTCTCAAAATAGATAATTTCGAAAAGCTTCAATAGATGAAAGTAGAATTTTGCGAGAAATTGTGAAAATGTCACGAATCCTTGGCAGGAGAAGGGAACCTCTTGAAAAGGACGACGAAGCTTCTGCTCGGCTTAGCGAAATATCTTTTTTTTTTCCAGTATTTGGCCAGCAGCCAGAAGACAGTGACGGATTTCATAGAAAGGGCTTTGAAAACGGTTGCACCCGTGGAATACGCCTCGAGGGCAGCCAGCCACCGACTAGAGCTCGTCCAAGGACTTGGCCTTCTGGGTAGTGAGCAGATCGCTGTTTTCGTTTGCACCACAGCATTTCCATGTGTCGCATGTCCGTTGTTCGTGTACGAGCCGAGATACAGGTTGATGGTGAGGAGATGCGTGGAGAGCGGTGTCCGCCAGTTTGGTATCGCTGCATGTATTAACCGAGAGGCTACAGGGACCAGAAGGTAATTTTCCTTTGAAATTTTAGTTTGAAGTTTGTTTATGGGAATATATTTGACACAATTTGACACATTAATAAATATAATTGAAAAATATATTATTTATATAAGAAATAGTGCCAGATTTTTTTAATAAATTGGTTCTATAGTTTTTGAATAATTGTCACAATCATCTTTGAAATTTAAATTTTATAAAATTCATTTAAAAATTAATTTTGTTTTCATATTCAAATAAAATGTATGTAAAATTTAGTTATAATGGATTGTATGAATATTTATATGTAAAGAAATTATTTATTACAGATAAATTTATAAAATGTTAGATACAATAATAATTATACTTTTTTAAACAAAATATAGGATTAATGTTTTATAGTATATATCTCTATTAATAGAATCTTTATAATTTCATTTACATGGACTTACATAAATAATTTGTGACAAGATTAAGTTAAATTAGGATCATTAATGTTTTAATCTTTATAGATGTATGTCTCCCTTTGATAGAATTTATAAAGCTTTATTTACATAAATCTATTAAGAATTAAGTAGTTTATATAATAAAAATCATATAATAGGAATTCTTTAATTTTTTTCTAGTTTTTTTGTATAAATAACTAAAATCATATATTTAAATAAATTACATAGCGTGTTAATTTATTTTGTTCATACAGAATTCGCATAATTGGATACTGATGAAAATTTCAGCAAATGAAATTGTGACCATGAAATATGCTAGTTGATGTAATATGCTAGCCTGATTGTATGAAATCTTTAAATGTTTTTTGTCAACTTTCGATATTTCCATATTTTATTATATTTTATTCATCAATATTTATATTTTTAATTATAATGAAATTCATCCATTATAATTTATTGTGTCTAAAATAGTATATTTGAAATTAAAATAAAGATTAAAAAAGTATTTAAAATTCTAATAGATTGTATATTTCATCCTAGATATTTAATTCCAAAATATTATTCTTAATAATAAATCATCATCTGCAGACTATTATAAAATATTCTATTATATTATATCACACAAATAAATATTTCTTCTTAAAAATAAGAAAAAAAAAAATTGTTTTTCGTTCGAAACAATTTAAAATTTATGTTTTCATTAACGAAGATGTTGAAACTACTCGATCGTGAATCATCGTCTGTGTATTTCGTACGAAGACAATAATTTATAACGACCGCTAATGCTCTCGAAATATCTTTCCACATTCCTAAATGTTAAAAAATTCAGTTTTAATAACGATTTCTAGAACAATCATTTAAATTTAAAAAAAGATAAGATATTGTTAAATAAAAAAGCAAAAAAAAAAAAACAAAAATAAAATTATTCAATATTTTTGTTTATACCAGATATGCGGAATATGGAACCATGCTTGAGATTCGAGATAGAGTGTTGCTAAAAGATGGCTGCAGCATTTTGAGTACAGTTGGTGGAAGAAGATTCAGAGTTCTCTCTGGAGGGGAAAAGGATGGTTATGATACAGCTCAAGTAGAGTTCCTCAGGGATACGATGGTTCAGGATGATCAATTGTTGAATCTTCTAGAGTTGCACGACAAGGTAAGATGTCAATGACATTTAAATATTATATACTTTGTATTCATTGATAAGATATTTCGATGAGATATAGCGACACACTCTCACTTGTATGATGCTTTGGATATAAAACACATAATGGCACAATATTATTTATACGATGCTATTGACAAAATATCTCGTGTGTTTTTTTTTTCTTTTATTAATCTTAACTTCTTCTATATGATTGTCGATTTTAGTCGATAGCCATCGAATGAATACACTGCACATGCAATATATATGATTGATAATCGACTTTTCGATCGATCGACTTTATGACTAATTGACTTCAGCATGCAATGTTTAGTATACTTGCGCAGCGCAGCAGAGCTCTGTATCGAAGAGGTTAGAAAATGAAATCTTGATAAATTCGTGTAATTTTTAAATTTGCTAATGATAATTTAAAGTTTGTTATACTTTCAAAAACAAATCTATATTTTTATGTGAAATAATATTTAATTACTGTAAATATATATACGATTATTAGAAATTGAAAATTTGAAATTTTTGGAAATTGCATTGCAAGATATTTCATCGTTTGTGACCAAACTTTTAATTAATTGTTATTTGTGTTATTATCAATGTTAAAATATAATGTTTATTAATAAATTAACGATTTTCATCATGATGATATTCGTTTAAATTTTATATTTTGCAATTTTTATTACTAAAATTATTATTACTTTTTCTCCTATTCTTTTTTAATTTACCATCGATTAATTATACAAATTTCACATGAATATTACTATTTCTAAATAAGGATTCTCTTTTCTTAAATCTTTTTACCATCGATCATTTATTCACACCGCTCGACTAAATTTTATATTTTATAATCTTTCATATTATTCCTTTTCCAATTCACCAATTGCACAAATACACGATAAAAATTACTATTCCCAGGTGAGAACGAAAGGCAGAAGATGGTGGGATACGGTATCGTTATCTCAGCAATTGGAAATCCAGCGAGTATTCGGTCGAATGCCAGACACGGAGGAGGATTGGCCACGTTTACCTGATGGCCCATCGTGGACATGGTGGTTATTAGCTATATTGCCGCTTGGCCCACAGTTGCAAGTGGGAATTGTGGGCACCACAAGCCTAGAGAAGAGATTAAGAGCCATTGAGAAGACTCTGGATCACATGGAGCAGAGGCAATTGACCGTGGCTCCTGCCACTTCCGAGGAAACGACTACTTCCTCC